AGCGAGACTCCATCTCAAAAAAAAAAAAAAAAAAAAAAAAGAGTGCACTTAATTAAAGACCACAAAGACAGAAATAATGTACAGGAGCAACAGGAGAAAACATTTTTAACATGTTCTTGCCAATATTGACTTTGTTGGACTTCATCTAATTTAAACCAGAAGAATGATGTATCTATGAGAACACCAAAATTATTACTGAGAATTTTAGAAAGCCCTTGCCCAAACTGACAAATTAAATTAGAAGATAACTTTTCAGATCATGCTTAACTTGAAACTTAACAGAAGCATTCCTTTTTTTTTTTTTTGTAACTAGTCAAAGTAACATACCTCCCTGAAATGTGTGACAAATATAATCCCCAAAAGAAATCTCTTTCCATGGTCCGGACCTTCTGATACTTTCTGAAACTTCACAGTTCTTCTCATTTTCCCCAGTTAATTGAAGCATTCTGATGCTTCGTCCTTGGAGGTCTTATTTCTTTAGATAAGACTGCTGTTGTCTAGTGTCTTCCGAGTTGTCTAGTGTATTGGAATCACATAAGACTATTTTGAAAGAGAATCCTGGATGCAAATTGAAATGGATACTAGATAAAGAATGATGTAATCCTGGAACCCCTGTGAACACTAAAAATACATGGGGAAATTCTGAACTCTGTTTATGAATAAATACTCCTCTATTAAGTGACAATCCCAGCAGTGACAGGGATATGTGACTCATTTACTTTTGTAGCATCTCACTACAATTAAAGGAAATCATTTCTTTCAAGAAATGGACACTATTCTCTACAAAGCGTGAGAATTTAAAATTTGCCCAAATTTTGGCATTTCATATTAGAATAAACTTTGTTTGGAGTGCTTTGCATGCTACCATATAAAATGGGTTTAGTGAAGAGCTTTTCCTGACAGCGACAAGTGGTTAATCAATTCCAATTGCTAATGACAGCAAAAAAATACACATAGCTTGCCACTTCCAATTGCTAATGACAGCAAAAAAAAAAAAAAATACATATAGCTTGCCACGTTTGCTGCTTTAATCACAATTTATTAGTCTTTCTATTTCCTGAGAAATTTTAGTCTGGTTAGAATGCCCTTCATTTTTAAAGTTTGCTTTAAAATATTAAAGAAAATAATTATATACAAGTAATTATTTTGGCCAGTAGAAATGAAGTTTCTCAAAATACTCTTAGTAAGCCACTACCTATTTACTTCTTAAATAACAACTGCTACAAGATCTACTAACTTGCAAAAAAATAAAGCTGAAAATCCTCCACAAACTGATGCAGTCAACAGCATTTGCTACTTTAAGTGACAATTTTTCAAACTACCCACTTAAAATCAAAGTATAAATATAATCTGCCTTCTAGAAATACTATTCATGTGAATTACCTAGGAGGGATTTTTTTAAAAAAAAAATAGGAACAAATTCATGTACTTTTACCTGAAATTCCACCATAGATCTCTTCTGCTATCCTAGCTGCTTCTTTCCTATTTCCTTTGACGATATAGAAATGGGTTAGGAGAGCCAAAAAAACTTTAATTAAAAGCTTAAAGAAAAAAAAGGTAGCAAACATTGTAATAAAAATGTTTTTAAAGCCATAGAAAACAGGAGCATCTTCCATTTTGGCTTATGCTCTGTATAGGGTCCTAGGACTGTAAAATTTCACTGAGTTATAATTGGTATCATATGACATCTATTTTAAACCTTCTAGCACTCAGTGCTCCTGTTACCGAGAATTCGGTTTGTAGGTTCTAATCTAACTGATTTGGCGACTGCATGTGCTGACTCCACAGCAGTGTTAAATAAACTAAAGAAACTTCCTTCTAACCAGAAACATCCAATAGTTCTAGAACTACACAACTCAGTACTATCTAACCAATAAGATTCATATCCAAACATTTTATACTCCTAAACCCCTATTTTTCCTATTTTATGTCAGAAAGCAGGGTTAGAAAGATAGAAACTTCTCAGCTTCCATAGAAACAAAGCAAGTTATTTGACATACAAAAAAAGTGCAAATATGCTTTATGTTCTAAGTGGGAAGTACCACTCCCTGGGGGATTTCATTTTCTCTTAATTCTGAAGTTTATAGAGGATTAAGTCCAAATCTAAAATATGACCAGTTAAAAAAGACCATTTACCTGGTCGGGCGCGGTGGTTCACTCCTGTAATCCCAGCACTTTGGGAGGCTGAAGCAGGCGGATCACCTGAGGTCAGGAGTTTGAGACCAGCCTGGCCAATATGACGAAACCCCCCTCTCTACTGAAAGTACAAAAATTAGCTGGGTGTGGTGGTGGGTGCTTGTAATTCCAGCTACTCAGGAGGCTGAGGCAGGAGAATTGCTTGAACCTGGGAGGCAGAGGTTGCAGTGAGCCGAGATCGCACCACTGCACTCCAGACTGGGTGACAAGAGCAAGATTTCATCTCAAAAAAAAAGAAAAGGAAAAAAAAAAAAAAAGACAATTTACTCTAAAGCTGTATGTATTTATTTATTTAGTTTTAAGATGGAGTCTTATTCTGTTGCCCAGGCTGGAGTGCAGTGGTGCGATCTCGGCTCACTGCAACCTCTACCTCCTGGGTTCAAGCAATTCTCCTGCCTCAGCCTCCCGAGAAGCTGGGATTACAGGCTTGCGTCACCATGCCTAGATAATTTTCGTATTTTTAGTAGAGATGAGGTTTCGCCATGTTGGCCAGGCTGGTCTCAAACCCCTGACCTCAGGTGATCCGCCCACCTTGGCCTCCCAAAGTGCTAGAATTACAGGCGTGAGCCACTGCACCTGGTCAAGCCTTTATTTAATAAAAGGCCTACCTTGGATGCCTCTCCAAGTAAAAGTGTCACACTAGAAGCATCAGACTACTTGCCATGGTAGTTCCATCTGGGACAAGGTCCCACGGCAAGGTTCCCTCCTGATCATTCACTTGCATTTCAAGCATTGGTAAAGGTGGTACCCATTTCTGAAAAATGTGGGCTATCCTTGATCATGGAAACGTCATAGTGAAATGGACAAAAGAGATGCCCTAGGTTCTGGATGAAGTACCCAAATATTTCATGAATCAACCTTCTCCAGCTGGGCAATTTTCTCTTATCAGCGGCAAACAGAAGTGAAATGGGTTTATTTTTAGTTTTCCTCATCACTCTAGGCCTCTGCCTTCATTCTTGGCTATGTTAGATTTTGTAAATTTCTAAAATCAATTGAAAAGACAAGCCAAAATACAGTTATACCAGCAGCCTAATAAATCTTAACGAGTGCTTTATGCAAAAATATAGGAATTTCTCCTAGCATGCACGCAAATTAGAATGACTGCCTGGTTAAGAACTGTTTCACTACATTAAAAAGCTGACATGTAAGAATACAACTTTGAACCACAACATGCAGCTCATCGATTTCAGTGTATCAGAGCACTATAAAGACCTTGAGTTGTCTTAACTCTCAAGGAACGGATACTAACATAAGATTTACTTTACTGAGCTTATATTACCTGGTAGAATACCAGTGTATGAAAATACATGAATATAACTCTTTTAGTCCTTTTCATGTATCTCTTTCTTCAATTATACTCTAAGTACGCAATCATTTAGTCATGTCAGACCAGTAATGTATATTGTTCTATAACATTATTCAATCTTGTTTTGGTTTTTTCATTTAAAACATGGCTGTCCAATGTTTTACACGCCAAAAAAATTGGCCATGAGAAGCTCAACTTTTTTAAGGTTCAAATGGATGTCTATACTATTTCCGAGAGACCATCTTTTTTTTTTTTTTTAATTGAGACAGAGTCTTACTCTGTTGCCCAGGCTGGAGTGCAGTGGATCTTAGCTCACTGCAAGCTCCGCCTCCCGGGTTCACACCATTCTCCTGCCTCAGCCTCCCAAGTAGCTGGGACTACAGGCGCCCGCCACCACGCCCGGCTAGTTTTTTGTATTTTTAGTAGAGACAGGATTTCACTGTGCTAGCCAGGATGGTCTCGATCTCCTGACCTTGTGATCCACCCGCCTCGGCCTACCAAAGTGCTGGGATTACAGGCATGAGCTACCACTCCCGGAAAGGCCATCTTTACTATATTTGAACATTACATTTGAGATGGGCATAAAAGGCTACTGATACACAAGGACATTTGATTCATGCTGTCTATCACGGATGAAATAATCAACAGCGCCAAGGTTTCTCAGTCTCAGCACTATTGACATTTTGGGACAGCTACATCTGTTGTGGGGGATGGCCCAGAGCATTGTGGAATGCTTAGCAGCAACCCCGACCTCTACTCACTTGATGCCAGTGCCCCACCCCCATCTAGTAGTAACAACCAGACATTGCCAGATGTCCCCTGGGAAACAAAATTGTCCCCCCCAAACCCCAGTTGAGAACCACTGAGCCGTACCCAAATAGAAATGATAAAGGATAAAGTAAAATCAATTCCCCCAAGTACTATAGGCTACAAATCAAATTCTACATAGAACTTTTTCATAATTTTATATTAAAAAATCCAGCCACAGGATATAATTTAACATCTAGCCACATTCATTTGGGAATGCAGAGATGGATAAAGAGGCTTTAAAAATACTTCACAAAAGTAAACACAGACCTATACTACCCTGACTTTGCCAAAAATAAGTTTTGGCGTAAGATAAATCAAAACATAAACATAGGTGACTGCTTTCCACTGCTTTCCACAAAAGGGGTGGGAGAAACTAAATCAGGGATATCCAATCTTTTGGCTTCCCTGGGCCACATTGGAAGAATTGTCTTGGGCCACACATAAAATACACTAACAGCAGATCACGAGGTCAGGAGTTCAAGATCAACCTGGCCAAAATGGTGAAACCCCGTCTCTACTAAAAATACTAAAGTTAGCCTGTGTGGTGGTGGGCGCCTGTAATCCCAGCTACTCATGAGATTGAGGCGGGAGAACCATTTGAACCCGGGGCAGCCTGGGCAACAAGAGTGAAACTCTGTCTCAAAAATAAATAAATAAATAAATAAATAAATAAATAAATAAATAAATGAAAATACACTAACAATAGCTGATGAGCTGAAAAAAAAAAGAAAAAAGAAAATCACAAGTCTCATAATGTTTTAAGAAAGTTTACAAATTTGTGTTGGGCAAAGTAGAAAGCATAATTATGTAGCTCACATACGCAATACAGTTTGTAGATATTTTCCTTTGTCTCACATGATAACGCTAGGGCAGTGAAAAACAAGGGCTTATTTGGGTAAGGAAACAAAGGCACAATTGAACTTGCTATTCCATGAGTAAGAGAGAGAAGATATTCTAGAAACAAAAAATGACAGAGTAATTCATCGCCCAAAGGGTATTTCTTGTTTTACTAATAGACCAAGCAACACATCCAAATTGCATTGGAAAAGAATGTGTCGGGGGCAGGGATAGCCTGTTCCACTAGTAAATAACAGTCTGGTCATAAAATAAGACAAACTCAGAAAATTAGCAAAATGTCATTCTGGTCTTTATTTTTGGACATGTAGCATGTTTTAACAAATCAGTTTTTCATAGGCAACCTTTTGAAACATCAAAAGAAATACAATATAGTTTTCACAAATTCCTCATCACTGTAAATTCACTTTAAAATCAACGTAAGTAGCAGGGTAGAGCAATGTGTTTCCACATACCGACCAGTGCAACACTGACAGTTACAATTAAGGTATCCAGGAAGGCTGAAAATCAAGATTTACGTAAAACAAATTTACTTCCGTTTGTTAAAAGTAGTAATTTGCAAATTACATGTCTTACAAGCAAAGGCAACTAACTTTAGATCTTATTTCCATCTCAAATAAATGACAATTTAAGAATTAAATGACAATTTTAAAAAATCAAGCAAAAATATAAGGAAAAAATGGTGGCGTGCGTCTAAAACCTGTTGAATAGAATAATAGCCAAATATTATAGTTTCTCACTTTACAATGAATATTGGCACTGTTTATTTCATGTTTATATGTGAGTTTTTATGCATAAAAATCCCAGTAAGACTGAATGGTTTAGATCAGTCCATTTTTCTCCAACAAAAGTACCCCTAACTTCTAGATTTCAAAAACTGCACTCTTGCTTTTGCATTTTAGTATAAACAAAACACAAATATATTTCTTTTATATCAGTGCAACCAGGTAATAGGCATGTTATTTTTTAAAAAGTAACAAATTTTGTGAATGTTGTCGTTTTTAAAAATCCTATACAGTATCACAACACTGTCAGAATCTATGTAGTGCACCCACAAGTGCCTCACTGTTTTGAATTCACAGTCCTTTTCTCACAAAAACCTTAAGAGTTCAAAGAATTGATAATACACACCATGTGGATAATTTGGGGTTAAAAAACCCATGGCTCTGGGCAACAACAATTACAGTTAATACGATCCAACAACAAAGACTGTTGCTAAAATTTTCAACTCGGTTTGCTATAAATAAAACATTCTGAAGTAAAGCTTTTTGCACACTGACAATACTTATCAGACATCAGCGAGGCCACAGTGAAGGGGAGTGACTTACATTAAAAGGACAGGGTAGCAGCTGGTTTTGGGATGGCACACCTCATACATTCCGCTCAGAAAACACGAAGGCATTTATAGAAAACTCAAATATGCACTGAAAAATGTGGAGGGTTTCTCTG